ATCAAAAAAAATTTCTCAAGATAATGATTATATATTTAATAATGATGATGTTGAATTGGCTGAGATTCATATTAATCAATTATCACAATTTGTTGAAGAATTTGTTGCCAATGAGGAAAATAAGGAGTTTGAGCTAAATATATTATTTGATATTAATAAAGAGATGAATTCAATTACTCAAGTTGCTAAAAAATTATGTGAAATAATTGGAGATAGTGATGGTTATTAATTTAAAATTTGAAAATGTTTAGCTTTTGGAAAGCTAATTATTCAACTTGCCTTCCTAACCAAAAAGGAACAATATATTATCATTGCAGTCAATCTGCAGTTTTAAATAAATTTAAAAATTCTAATTGAAAATGATTTACAAGATTTGAATGTAATAGACAGCTTATTATTCGCATTAATATAATAAATTCTAAAGCTTATATTAAAGTCAAGCATTTATTATATCATGAGCATCCAGCTATTTCTACTGGTGTTCCAAAGGAAATAATTGCTGAAATAAATCAAAATTATTATCTTAATCCTTTACAACTTCGTTCTTATCTATCTACACATTTTGATTTACAAGATATTACACCTAAACAAATTTATTAATGGTGAAGTGTTTCAATTCAATCAAAGTATCAAAAATATAAAGATCCTATTTGTTTAGCTATTATTTTACTTCAAGAACAATTTCAAGATTGTGAATTATTAATGTCAATTAATAATGATACTTTAACAGCAATTGCTTTTTCAACACTAAATCTTCAAAATTTAAAAAATATTAAAGAAATTCATATCGATGCAACATATAAAACAACTAAAGGTCATTTTGAGCTTTACAAAATTATTGGAGAATATCAAGGAACTGGATTTGCTTTGGGTTATTTAATTTTAGATATAGTTCAAATTAATGAAGAGTTGGAATTATCTAAATCAGAAATTTTAACTCAATTTTTATTAAAATTTTAAATTCTTGGTCTTTCACCTGATTTTATATTTACTGACAAAGATTTTACTCTAATTAATGCAATAAAAAATATATGGCCAAATAAAGGTATTTAATTATGTCTTTGGCATTTGAAAAAAGCTATACTTACAAAAATGAAATCAAATAAACAACAAGTATGATATAGTTTATTTACAATTGCCGATTTTCTATAATTTCCATTTATTGATCCAAATTTTGTTCCCCAAGTAAATCAAACTAAAATTATTTGTTCTGTACAGCATCAAAAAAAGATTTTAGATTTAATTGAAATTCATTTTAATTTATATCCGCTAATTCCAATAAATCAAAATGTCACTTTATTAACAAAAGAAAAAATATGAAAAAAGGCTGTTTATGAAATATATCAATTATATTTTCAATTAAATAATCCAAGACTTTGGAATTATCTTTATTTTTCATGGTATACTAAAAATCATTAGAATTTATGGGCTAGAAGTAATCATTTATTAATTCCTTTTAGCAAAACTAATATGTTAATTGAATCTCACTGGAAGGTAATTAAATATGATTACTTATATAGATTTAATCATCCAAGACTTGATTATGTAATCTTTATTCTTTGTGAAAAATTAATTCCAACACAAAATATTCGTCTTTATCAATTAACTATGGGAAGAATAAATCTTTACAGGTAGGAAGATCTAAAAAAAGATTTGATAAAATGTATTAATGCTAAGCAAAGTAATTCTAATAAGAGATATTATACCAATACAAACCAATGGATTTGTAGTTGTTTAGCATTTCTTCAAAGCTGATTTTTGATTTGTAAGCACCTTATACAGGTTGCACATATTGATTTATTTATAATACCTTTCATCGCAATCGACAATATCTATTTTGGAGTATTGATGGATTAGCAAATAATAGTGATATTAATAATAATAATAATAATATTAGCAAAGTTCAAATATCAGAAGAATCAAATATTTTAAACATAGTTGAAAATGAAGTTCAAATATCAGAATAATCAAATATTTTAAACATAGTTGAAAGTGATAATGAAAATGATTTAGCAATAGAAGAAATCGAAAGAAAAATTGAAAAACATGAGCACTTTATTCAACATGTTCGAGAAGAATATGAAGCAGATTAATTTTTTTTTATAAACAATATTTTTTATTATTATAACAATAATAATTACTATTTTTTATTATAATAATTTAGAAAATATTTGACATGTAAAAACATTATTAAATGGATCTAAAAGAATTTATACAATGATAGATGATATTAAAAAGGCACAAAGCAAACTTGTTAGAGAACATACATGGAAAGACTCAAAACCTCATACAATGTTTTTGCGATAAATAGCATTTATATAAATTATTTATAGCAATAATTTTAATAATTATTATTGCATATTTTTTAGCATTGCAAGCATATTAAAATTTAAATATCTCAGGATATAAACTTTATAATTTTTTGATAAATTAGCAAACTAGTTCAAACAAACATTAGATACTTGTATTTTCAATACTGTTTTTATAATAATAAAAACATTATATATGTATTAAAGTGAAAGACTATAAAACTTTTAGTATTTTTATTGAAAAATTATTTAAACAAACCTAAGATTAATTAATTATACTCGCATTTCACTTATGTTTATAAAAGATGCTTTTAAAATAATAAAGCTAACAATAGTATTTTATAATTAATTTTTTTACCAACAACGAATGATATTAATATATATATATATATTTCAATAAAAGTGCATATATACAAGGTTTGAAAAAAAGAACACTTTTCGGATATTAAAAAAAAATCATATGCAAATAATCGGAGTATAGCGGAATGCGGAAAGTTTTGGGGGTCGCTGTACGAGTTCTAATTTCATAGGAAGACTTTCGTATGATTGGCTGTTTAAATCAATTTAATTTTACATTATTTGTACAGTTTAAAGTACTTTTTAAAAAAAACAAAACTACTCAGAATAAACAAAAAAGAAGTATATAGAAAGTTTTATTA